CAGCTTTTTGGCCTCAACACAACGTCTTGAGTGTTTAACCTGCTCATTGTTGCTTGTGCTTTCATTGAACAATAGAAGCGACGGATATTCAAGTGCACCTATCTCCTACATCCAGCACTTGAACAAGCGAAAGGATCGTCATCGTGGATGATTTGCACGAAACCCATTCCAATCTCCTTTGATTCACAAGACACGCGACCCTTGTTGTGCACGACAAGCAGCCGACCCACTAGAGTGATTTCCGCACGCATCCAACTCTTCTCCGCTTCATTCTACGACCACAACGCCACCACATCTGCATCTTGCAACCATCAAACGATCACATTCACTGCTTTGTTAGATATATACTCTTGCGCCTTCCTACAACCTCCTAAATCTCTTTGTCCACGGGCGTCTTGACCGTCGTCGCATCCGCGTCACCGCCCGCGTGCTGCTGGAACAAGAACTCGATGTCTTCCAACAAAATGTTCTTGGTCTCGGGGCAAAAGTAGTACACAAACACGGCAGCACACGAACAGAGCACGGCAAAGAGGTAGAACACGCCATTGATGTTCAAGTACGGAAACAACTTGGGGATGCCAATCATGAGCGCGCCCATGGTCCAGTTGGTCATGGTGGACAGCGACACCGCCATCGCTCGCACGCGCATGGGGAAGATCTCGGCGGGGTAGATCCAGCAGATCGGCCCCCAGCTGATGGCAAAGTTGAAGATGAAGAACGCCGTTGCGGCAATCATGACCCACCCCGCCGACTTGTCGCACTGGAGGTCGTCCGTGTCGCCCTTGCACCCGACCGTGAACGACGTGGCCGACACCAAGTGCCCCAGCACCATGCCCGCGCCTCCGACCAACAGCAAACTCCGACGCCCGAACCGATCGACCCAGTACATGGCCGGGATCGTGCTCACAAAGTTGACGATCTGGAGAATCAGCAGCGACGTGAGCCCGTCCCCCAACACGTCCTTGAAGATCTGACCGCCGTACACAAACACAGGGTTGATGCCCGTCGCTTGCTGGAGCAGCTGCAGCGCCATCGCAATGTACACGCGGCGACGCACGGTCGGGTGGAACACGTCTCCCCACGTCGTCGCGTGCGTGCCTTCCTCCGCGAGTGCGTCGCCGATCGCGCGCAGCTCGTCGCCCACGTCGTCCGTCTTGCGCAACCGCACAAGCGTTATCTCGGCAGCCTCGCGGCTCTTGTGCTTGTACACCCAGCGAGGACTCTCCGGCACGCAAAAGATGCCGCACATGACGATCACGGGAAACGCCATCGCGACCGCGTTCGTCGTGCGCCACCCTTGCTCTGTGTCCTGGACCGCAATGTTGATGATCCCGGCCAGCAAGATCCCCGTCACGATCGACATCTGCATGAACCCGGACAGCATCCCGCGAAGCTCCTTGGGCGCCATCTCGGCCCCAAAGATCGGCAGCGAAAACGAAGAGTTGCCGACCCCCATGCCTTGGATCACGCGCGCAATCAGCGACATCGTGTGCCCTCCCTTGACCGTAAACACGAGCAGACACGTGCCAATGCAAAAGAGCACGCCCGCGCTGAAGATCGTCATACGGCGACCAAACTTGTCCGCGACCACGCCCCCCACGTACGCGCCGAGGATGCACCCCAGGTAGTACAGCACGTTGAAGAGCGTGGTGAAGTTGAGCCAGTTCTCGGGGAGGTCCGCCGCCGTCGAGTTGCATTGCTGGTACGTGTTCGAGCCATAGCCGACGCAAAAGTCGTTCAAGAACGAGTCCATGACGAGGACGCCACCCGTCACGCCTTGGTCGTACCCAAAGAAGATGCCGCCCAGCGATGCAAACACACACACCACGACGGCGTACGTCTTGGAGCCTTGGGTCGGTGCCGACATGGCCCCGTCGTTGTTTGCGTCAATCAGCACTCCACCTCCAGCCATGGTGGAAAATCCAAAATGGAAAGGAACACGTCTCCCCACGTCGTCGCGTGCGTGCCTTCCTCCGCGAGCGCGTCGCCGATCGCGCGCAGCTCGTCGCCCACGTCGTCCGTCTTGCGCAACCGCACGAGCGTTATCTCGGCAGCCTCGCGGCTCTTGTGCTTGTACACCCAGCGAGGACTCTCCGGCACGCAAAAGATGCCGCACATGACGATCACGGGAAACGCCATCGCGACCGCGTTCGTCGTGCGCCACCCTTGCTCTGTGTCCTGGACCGCAATGTTGACGATCCCGGCCAGCAAGATCCCCGTCACGATCGACATCTGCATGAACCCGGACAGCATCCCGCGAAGCTCCTTGGGCGCCATCTCGGCCCCAAAGATCGGCAGCGAAAACGAAGAGTTGCCGACCCCCATGCCTTGGATCACGCGCGCAATCAGCGACATCGTGTGCCCTCCCTTGACCGTAAACACGAGCAGACACGTGCCAATGCAAAAGAGCACGCCCGCGCTGAAGATCGTCATACGGCGACCAAACTTGTCCGCGACCACGCCCCCCACGTACGCGCCGAGGATGCACCCCAGGTAGTACAGCACGTTGAAGAGCGTGGTGAAGTTGAGCCAGTTCTCGGGGAGGTCCGCCGCCGTCGAGTTGCATTGCTGGTACGTGTTCGAGCCATAGCCGACGCAAAAGTCGTTCAGGAACGAGTCCATGACGAGGACGCCACCCGTCACGCCTTGGTCGTACCCAAAGAAGATGCCGCCCAGCGATGCAAACACACAAACCACGACGGCGTACGTCTTGGAGCCTTGGGTCGGTGCCGACATGACCCCGTCGTTGTTTGCGTCAATCAGCACTCCACCTCCAGCCATGGTGGAAAATTCGAAATGGAAAGTGAACCGTGGTGGAATGGATGATACGTTGGCAAGGGAATGGGTTTTCACGTGGTTGAAGGTTGGGCGGGATAGGACTGTTGGTAATGTCTCGTTGTGTAGAAATTTTGTGGTCCCCTCGTGTCGCAGTCGGTCGAATTCGAGCCACCGCACAAAGTCGCGATGGCTTGTGCCAGCCGCCGCCTGCGTTCTTCACCTTCAAGTTACGGTTGAACTAGGCGACTCTTCGAGACAAGTCGACGAAAGTTTTGGGATGGCCGTCGAGACAGGTCAATGTACCCACGAGTTTCGCGACCGGGGGGCGTTGAACAATCGGAAGGGATGTGCACCACTGGTACGGGAATCCGCAGTCTATGACACTGTATTGGAATTGAGCCGAGGCTCGAGGGGGATCGACCCACGTCGTGAAATCCAAGCACGACAATCCTAGTTCAAATTTATCCACAGTTCACCCGTTCAGTTCGTTGTGATGGCCTGGGAAGTGGAAGACTTGACATCCAGGCGGCGAAGTACTTTACGGCAGCTGCGGTGCTCCTGTTGCTCCTGAGAGTCTACGTCGATTTTTTGGCAATTCTGAGCGCCCGGTCGTGGAGGTATGGGGCGCTTGGTTTCGTTTTTGACTTCGATGGCCCCTTGTCACAGCCGTCATGTCGCGTGTGTTTTACCTCCACTGAAAGCAGCGAGCCTGAAAAACATCCGGCGCAGGTGTCACAGACAGTAGGATGGCTGCGCGTCGCACGGGAGTACTACCGTAGTTCTGCGAAGGGGGGGGTCGCGACGCTGCCACATGTTTGCCTGCGCACCCGAGTGCCTTTGCTTGTCGAACGCACCCAATGCAAAAATACCGAAGCGCTCAAACAACATTTCTAGGCACAAGCGGTGTTGTAGCGTAAGTTTTTTCGGCCATTACATAGACTGGTGCGATTCACATCCTCACACACAGCTCACCATGTCAAAGGGTTGACACTGCTGCACACCCCAGGCCATTCTAATAACGCTATCACGCTGTCATCATAAAGGGGGGGTGCAGGGGCGCCGTGCAACGATGCGAAAGCCAAAGTGCCGCCGCCCAAAACGAACAACGACATGACTGTGTCAGTTTTCGAACGCTTCCACGCCCCTCCATGTGACGCCCTCCTCGGCATGGACAACGCCCGAGAGACAGTACTCGCGTCCCCCGACTCGCTCACCATTCTGTGCTTTTTATGAGACTACGAAAACAATCTGTGAATGACAAAACAAGGCTAGAAAAAGTCGATGGACCAGGCCAACAAAGCACGCGATTCAGGCGGCGATGCCACCAAATGAAGTCTTGATTGGTGCGATAAAGACGCACACGAGATCCACGCTGGGGTGCGGCACCACGTAACGTGAACGCGTCCACTTGGTCAAATGTCTCAAAAAGCTTGCCCAGACTGACTGGCTGAAGGGTCGGGCCTACTGGGGCCAAGTACTTCGTAACGCCAACTGTCCATGAACCGCAACCAGTCGACTTGAACAAACCACGCGACCCCGGCCATTGCCAGCAGTCTACGTTGAAGAACGTCGTGGAGGATACAAAAC